ATCAACTTCCCAATAAGCAGAATATCTAAAATCGATGCATAAGACAACTTTATTAAGATATCTTTTACACTTTTTTATAAAGTATGTTAAAGATGTTTCTTAAAGAACTCTTAAGGGGATCCTAAACCAACAGGAATTACCGGATTGATCATATGTTTCATTTCTACACTGTTAGAAATGTTCTTAAATTTCATTAACTTTTAATGTACATTGGTGAATGAAGTTTAATTTCTCTGTAATTGAAAGGACTATTAATGCACATGTTAATGAGATTTAAGTTTACAGTAACTGAAAAATTAAAACAAAAATACTTATTAACCGTGAATCAATACCAACAATATAATAATTAAACGGCTTCTTCCACGTACACAAGTTAAGTTTTGTGCAGGATCATACAATGATCCATATTTATTATAATATGTATATAAAACCAAACGTTTCGGTCTGTCATCAGACCATTTTCAATAGTAATACATAGAATTGTTAAAAATTTTCACAATAATTTTGAATATTTATAAATCGAAATCATTCTCGTTGTCATCATACATATCGTTGTCCAATAATTAATTTATAATTTACAAAGTATCATATATAACATTCGTCAACTGCATAAAACCATGGAAAGCATAGTATGTCCTATCTGTTAAAATAATTTTCATCCTCTGCACTCCGTGAAAACAAGTCTGCTTTAACTATTAACGAATTATAAGTTCAAAATAACATTTACTTTTATAGTCTATTTTAACATAATGTTGTATAGCTACTTACATTATAAGTGTAGTTAATAATTATATTATCCTTAGTGATAATCTTTTATCATTCCAACAATTCGACGCACCATTACCTGATACTGATAAATAATAATTTATAGTTATTATTATGAATCACTCAATTAATTAATTCAAAAAACTTAGCAATACCTGCGTAGAATTATTAAAATATATCACCAAATGTAATGCACACTTTATCGAAGACGTATTCTTCTTTCCTTTGTTCGTTTTAACACTAATAACAGTTAATGTGAGTAAAGCTAGGACGAACTGCGAGAAACTGTCTCGTATGTTCTGACACAACGTATTTATATCGTCGGCTAAAGCGAACATTATATAAATTCAAAACAAATCAATCATACAATGCTGAGCAAGGAAACATATGCTTCTGGAAATTTCTGAGTGTCATTCTGCTTGTTTAAACCGTTTTCTTGTTTTTTGATAAAGATCATTTCTGATGTTAGTCTTTTGAAAAGATATTGTTCTTTATCCATAATTTTTATATCATCCCAATTAAAATTGTGACCATTATTCATATGATATTCTGCTAAGACAGAACTGCAGTATTTTTTATTTTTTATATCTTGTTGATATTCAACCATACGTGTGCCGATCTTCCTTTTAGTTTGATCAACATAAGACACGTCACATTCTCTACAATTTATCTTATAAACAACCCCTTTTTGTTCATTCGTCTTTAATTTATCTTTACCTAATTTGATAATAGAATTTAAATTATTATGTGCTTTAAACGCAACTTTTTTATTCATTTTGTGAGCAATATGAAAAAACTTTTCTGAAATGTTACGTATATATGGTACAAGAAAATAATTATTTTTATTATTCATATTAGCATCATCCAATATTTTATTATTAATATATAAATTCTTTCTTTTTGCTAAAATTTCAATTATTTATCGTAGAAAAAAATCACATTCAACGGATAACCATTGTTCAGTAGAACATCAACAAGTTCTATAATATTTTGTTCTTGGTAATCAGGATGAGCCAAAAAAATTATTCGGTCCAACAAACTTATTATAATACCTCTTTTTTGTTGGTCTGGATGAGATGATACAAAATTTAGATAACGACCGGAATTAGTCATTTTTTTGTAATTATTAAATCTGATACAACCATTCTTAATCATGACCTTGACATCTAAAAAACTTACAGAATTATCCGAACCTTTATCAAGAGTAAAATTAATGCGATTGTGATAACTATTAAAGAGTTCTAAAACTGTTTCAATTTTATCGAAAGGCAAGGCAAGCAAAATGTCATCTACATATCTGGATTTTCACGCGATTAATTATGTTAGGTCGCGCAAGCGCAGTACGGTTTAGTAACAGCTGTTTGATCACGCGCTAACCACGTGATCACGGTTCGCGAGGATTTCACGGCTGTCGCGACAGTTCGCGTTGCCACGGCAACGCGTCGTTAAGAGTGACGTTCGCCTGCGCGCAATTTTCGGCGGACGTTACAGGAATATTAGTATTTTTTGAGATATCTGACCATGTATTGCTAATACTAGTTAATATTAATTTTTCTGGAATGTTTGTGTACATATTTTCGATATCGAAGGACAGAATTTTATAATTGTCATTTAAACTTTTACCATTTATTTTCTGCGCCAAATCATAGCTATTTTTGATGTGACTAAAATGTTTACTAATACTTTTGTTGATTATTTCTTTAATATAAGAGGATAATTTATAAAGAGGACAGTCAATGCAACATACAATGATACGTAAAGGATTGCCAATTTTATGGATTTTGTGCACACCGTAACATCTCGCTAAATTACAATCTGTAACATTTAGTAATTTATAGGTTTGATCATTCAAATATTCCTTATCCTTCCATCGTTTTACTAATACATGTGTTTGTCTAGTTAGTTTGCTCGTTGGATCCTTCTTATTTTCAATGTAAGTTTCTTTATCTGACAACGAGAATGATTTCGATTTATAAATATTCAAAATTATTGTGAAATTTTTAACAAATCTATGTAATACTATTGAAAATGGTCTGATGACAGACTGAAACGTTTGGTTTTATATATTATAATAAATATGGATCATTGTATGATCCTGCACAAAACTTAACCTGTGTACGTGGAAGAAGCCGTTTAATTATTATATTGTTTGTATTGATCCACGGTTAATAAGTATTTTTGTGTTTAAATCACAATTCTTCATTATGCTTTATAAACTAATTGATTTTTTTATTATATTGTAAATAATCTTTTCTTTTGTAGAACTCAACTTCAAACTGTATGCTGTTGGATAATTCGTTATTTTTGTTATCTTAAAAAAAGGACGCAATTTTGGAATTATTGATCCATTTCAAGATATATCATTGCCTTATTGAATTCGACGTTGTTTCTTCGGGTACAAAATTAAAACAATATTTTTTAAATCTAAATATGGTCAAAGTAAAAAAATTGGGGAAGCTTTGACCCTCTCTTGTGTTGAGGCTGTATTTTAGATTTAGTTAGTGGTTTTTTTACTTTTTTTTTAAAGGAGTAAAAACTTTATAGGTATATATAAATTTATCTTTATATATCAATTGATTTATCTTATTATTTCACGTGAAAAGGTGATGAGGTATAATTAGAAAAAAAATTATAGTATTGCATTAATTTTGAAATTATTAATTGCAATTTATTACACAAAATCTTTTTATTTTTTTTACGTTTTTAAGTTTTTGTGTCATACTTTGTATCAAGATGTGTTAGCACAAGAAAAAATAAATTTGTAAAAATTCATTAACACAATCGATTTTGTTACATTCCGGAAATTTATC